AAAGCAGATCTCGCTGCTGGTCGAAGCAAGAGACGAATGCCTGGCAGCACCCCAACTGTAAATTCCCCCGTCACATCAAATCAAGTGACAACAGCACAATAGCTACCTGAGTCTGTACCGGTACGGATGTACCACTTGGACGATTCAACAACCCCCCACATGATGTTTGCAAGTCTATAGTTTACACTCTTGTAATGTCACGACCGAACAGCTGTCGCTTGGTCCAGTCGTTGAGGACCAGAAGTCGATTTCGCCAAGAAACCTGTTTGCTCAGGTACACACTTCGCCACACCGTATTGCCGATCTTTCCGGTTCCCTTCAACGGTGGAGCATCTGGTGCGGGTGTTACTTGAGCAAGCGCCGATCCGCCCCCAGTGTAAGCAAGGATTCCGAGATCCAAGAATTGGAATGGTTTGGCATATTCTCCGTTAGAGAGAGTGGCCAAATTGGCAACCGTATCTGACAGGGAACTCTTTGTTTCTCCGGTTTTCATTGGGGGTGGCACCACTCCGTCAACCTTGCTCGCTTCAAATCGTACTGCTTGTTTAACATGTTGGCCAAGTATTCACCTTGCTGGGCTGCAACTTGCGCCGTTGCAGGCAGCTGACCGCGAGTGATGCAAGTGCAGTCGCCGAACGCCAGGATATCGCCATTGCCACCAGCAGCACGCATCCACGGGTCGATAGCCACACGCCCTCTTGCCACATCTTGCTCTTCTGCCTGTTCCTCGCCTAATGCTTCCACAAGTTGCAATGTGATTGGAAGAGGTCCATTTCCAGCAGCCCACACCGCGAGCCCGTACGGTATTTCCTCGCCAGAGTTCAACATGATGGACTTGTCGGTGACCTCCTTAACAGATTGATCCAGCTTCAGTTCGACAAGCTGGAATCGCTCCGGCAGTAGACTACGAACATCCGAGTCACTGATTTCAACAGAACGATTCATCACTCGAATGGCTTCTTCCTGCAGAGCCTTGTCGAATGGCGCCAGCACAGATGAAGCAGCTTCAATTACCTTGATGCGAACGTGCTTCAACAAGTTGGGGTAGTATTTTGGTCCGTCCTCCTCGACAAAATCTCGCAATTCTGCTGCAAATTCGATCCCAGTTGGCCCCGCTCCAATGACAGCAATGGTGAGGTCGTTCTCACGTTGTTCGTCGGTCAGTGACGGCAGATTGGCTCTTTCAAAACAGTTCACAATGGCCGTGCGAATACGCCTGGCATCTTCAACCTGCTTTAGGAAACAGCAGTACTCTCTGACTCCTGGGATTCCAAATGTGTTCGTCTGGGCACCAACAGTCACCACCAAGCGATCATACTCTACGGTGAAATCTTCAATGTCACACGAGTTTCCGTCGCAGACAACAGATTCGCACGTTACAACCTTAGTTTTTGGGTCAATTTCTGTCGCGGTTGCCTCCAAGTAGTTGACTTTGCGATTGATCTGATGTCATTCGAAGTGAAAGAAACCATCATAAAAAGGAGATGTCAGTCAAGGGAGAGGGGCAATGCAATCACGCAAGCATTCTGGCCCACATTCTCGTCCAACCCAGCAGTCCCTTACCTCTCTCACTGGCTCTGTGATGGATCTGTATTCGACGGTTCCTACGCTCGCTCCAGCTGTACAGCCAGCCAATGCAACGAAATCAGTTAGAAATGTAGCGGAGTAGAGTAGTGCTTGCAATGATCGCAAGGAAAAGATACTCACCCAGCATTGGAGTGAACAAGAAATAGTTCCGAGGCGAAATCACAGTGACATCATAGAGGCTAGTATCAATACCCTTCAGGAACGAAACAGCGCCCCATCCTGTTCCAAGCACCACAATTTTTTCTCTCTCGGTGCCTTTATATACAAATGCCGATTGACCAGGTAGTATGCCTTCTATGAGTTCAATTCCTTTTTCCGCCAAAAAGAGTGGATACGCTCTACGTTTTGTCAATCGTTCCATACGTCTCTTGAGTCTCTCAGCTTCGTTCTCGCCTTCTGGAATATCTTCTTCCGAGGTAACAACTTCCTCTCTTCTTCTTGCAACGGCAGCACACCAGGGCCATCACGAATCGCATATTGTTCTTCGTCCTTGATAATGGAGGTTCTTTCCGCGAGCTCTTGTCTCATTTCTTTTTCGGGTTGAGCAAACAAAACTGTGTCTCTCCTCTTGGAAGCATTCTTGCCGTAGAGAGAATCAAAGTATGACATGGGCGTACGGTTCATGGGTGCATCTTTGGCCATCGCTTCTGTTCTATCGCTTGTTCCAACTACTTGCAGTGATTGTCGTTTCAACTGGACCAGTCTCTTGAAATCCTCATTGATTTCTTCCAGCATACCCAAAGTTTCCTTGCTGTTTCGATCATAGTTATTACCAAACTCATCCAATGCATCCGAAACTTTGCCATATGTTGGTTTTAAGGTTGCCTTGCTACCAAAGGGAACGAAGCCCTGGGCGAGGTAGAGGTTGCACACCACCAAGAAGACAGTCTTCATGACGACAAATGCCAAATTTGCAGTTGCATCAAATCTATTATTTGTGCGAAAGCTTGCACTTTTGGCCTCTGAAATCTTCTTCATTGGACCCACCAACAACGAAGGAAAAGCATTGACTGTCGATTGTCAAAGATACCACCACCTATTCATCACATGGAAAGGCCGACGTATTCGATCATTGGCAACGACGACGATGGATTGATCGATGTGAAGGGGTTGGTATCGGATTGGAGGGACTGACGTCAGTGGGAGGGAGACCCGCAAGACTCTCTTGGTTAGGGTGCCTGGAACTTTCAATGTAGTACCGATACCGGTACAACGGTACCTAACGGTACCAGGTACCAGGTCCGCACAGCACACCGTATGCATAGAAAGGAGGACCAGTGCCTTTGTGATGGAGCACCAGAACGGGCCCAATGCACCGAAGGATGCACGCCATTTCCTGGCACCGGTATCCTGGAAGAAATGACGGCAAGGGAGGTTGAATTGAAGGTTCAGATCTATTCTTATTCTGTCTTAAAACTAGTTGGGCATACTGTATTAGCGGTTCTAAACTGGATCGAGGTAAGTTTTAACTTTGCATTGCGGGACGAAGTGCAGTCGAGGCTCTGCAAGCATTTCATCGGTACCTAGTACCTGGTAGTAGCTCTTCAGACCAGCTCGAGGCGCTCAACGCCATGGTGAGGTTGAATTGAAGGTTCAGATCTATTCTTATTCTGTCTTAAAACTAGTTGGGCATACTGTATTAGCCGTTCTAAACTGGATCGAGGCAAGTTTTAACTTTGCATTGCAGGACGAAGTGCAGTCGAGGCTCTGCAAGCATTTCATCGGTGCCTAGTACCTGGTAGTAGCTCTTCAGACCAGCTCGAGGCGCTCAACGCCATCGGGTAGGACAGAATTGGTCACATTCCACGCATAGTCTTGGCTCGTATGGCGAGCCTTTTCACTGTATGAGTGGCGAATCCGCGAGATCAAATCTTCGACAAATCCTGAGGGGGCATTCTTGAGTCGGCGTGTTACTAGCGTCACAGCCAATTCCCGGAAAGGCTCCGAAAGCAGATCTCGGGCATCGTGGGCCTCGTAGTTGCCCGCTTGCTTTACGTCAATATCGTCTCGGACTAGGTCTTTCAGTTGTGCAGCGAACTGGGGATCCTGTCGGAATAGGTACCAGGCTACTGCTCCGTAAGCGGGTGGGAGCGCAAGTCTCAAATACCGTTCATCTCGGAGCAAGCGATCATACTTGTCGACAGGATTTCCGCTTCCGAATGAATGGGCCACGACGGTGAGGAAATCCACCGTCTTTCCCATATCTGCGGAGTATGTGAGGGCGCCACTGCCGACGCCGGAGTATTCCTCTAACACGATGGTCAGCTTCTCGGCTGATGTCACACCGCTCTGACGGTAGCCAAGGGCATTCACTGTTTGCTTGAGATTGCGATTCTTATCGCGAAGATTGCGATTCGATTCGTTTGATTCAGATTGTAATTCGTATCGCGAAGATTGCGATTCTCACTGCGAAGATTATAATTTTCTTGCCGAAGATCTTCTTTCTCCTTTTCCAGTTCGAGGATCTTTTCGTCCTGTTCGCAGCGTTCTTTCTCTAGGTCCCTGATCCAGTCTCGATCTTCCACGTGTAGTTTCGAAGCTGTCTGAAGTAAGCTTGAGTTTTGCCTTGACGATTCGTAGTTCAAATAAGCCGCTGCTTCGCGTTGAGTGGGAACTTCTACCTTCATTCGTTTGGATCGCTTCCGAGGGGGTGGCTTCGACTGTCGTTCTCGTGGGCTCTTCCATGGTGTCATTCTTGAAGTTATTTCTTCTAGTGATAGTCGGATTTGTGTATACGTGAGTTGTTGTGAGATTGTGAGATGTGTGTCTGTGTGGCTTCTTGAGATTGCTTGCCTGTTTGATGTGAAGGCAAACCATTTCGTTTCTTTTCGTGGTCAAACTTCAATTTTAATTTTCAATGTGAAACTTCAATTTTTATTTCAGTTTGACAGCAAAGAAAGCCAGATAATACGGCTGCAACAACAGGATTGACAGTATGGCATCGCGAAGAAGGAGATCTATGATAGGCCGACAGCAACAATACATGTAGTAATGTCTCCGTTTGGTTTTCCAAGGAGCTGTGAATGATTATGACAGTCTAAGAAGCCAGTGAAGCTAACAGTCGTACCACGATTGTCCAACGACTTTTACGGTGCGGAAGTCCATCAGAACCAACCACCGAGAAAACGAAAACGAAAACGAAAACCACCCGAGGCCCAAGCATATGTCATAGTCTAGGTAATCACTATTATTACTGGTACAACGATCACCACAGTGAAATCATGTAATACGATAGCTACAGTGCAGAATGATGAATGAGGTATATTGAATGAATCTATTTTATCGAAGTAAAGTTTTGCTCTTGTCTTTTCCTGCTGCTGCGCAAGCGTTTGGGCATTATTTTGGCATTTGAGCCAATAGGAAGGGATCTCTCTGGTACCGGTATGACTGGCCATGGTAGTCAACGAAAGTCAGTACTGGCCCGAGTTTAGTGGGAATAAGAGACGAGAGATGCATGGAACCCTTCTAAAAGGAATCATCACGGTGACAGTTTTATACGGCAGGTGCAGAACCAGGTGCATTGAATTAATGAATCTATAATTTATGGCATGAAACTTCTTAAAGTTTTGCTATTTTCTTTGTACTATGTACTACTCAAGTTGCGCTCTTTGTCTTTGCAATACTCAAGCTTCTTTGGTGTTTTGGAATCTCCCGCCGTCCTTTATTCTTCCTCAAACTCTTAGCTTAGAGCTTCGTTGGTACGATTTGAGATTACTCGCAGCTGAGATTCTACATTTCTGCTGGCCTTAAAAAGTCTATGCTTATCGTCTTCACGCGAGTAGTATTCATTCAGAAGATTGATGCATGCGTCATTGAATGTGCTCTCGCTCCAATTCTCAAGGTCTCGTTCTCTCTTGAGCGCAGCGTAGCAGACACGAACAATCGTATCGTCGTGAGAGCTATAACTCCAGTCTGACGCTGAGTATCCCGGGGAGTAGGCTGAAACGTTCTCAACATCGTCTTCGTCATCTGCGCCAGCATCAGCGTCGATGCTCGGAGAGGACAGACTGCTCGTAGAGGATCGACGCGTTGGAGAATAAGGAGCGTCTGGGTCACCGTGTCGCCGCCAGTACGCCTCCTCATCAATTCTTTCTAGCTTTGCCTTTTCAATTTCCACTGCGAACTCATGCTCGTCGCTGTCCAATCCTCCTTGCAGCGCACTAGCGACAACCCAGTTACGTGGTCGTTTTGAGTCTTCCTCATCCTGAATAACGACAGAGATGTCCACTTCGACAGACTCCTGTCGTGCATCATCGTCAAGATCACACAAGTACTCCCAATCTCGACATTTGCGCTTTCTGTTACTACCAGTCATCGTCGGAACAGGAACTCCATGCTGAATTAATACGCGGACGAGAGGCAAGCTGTCGTCGTTGTTGTTGTCCTCCTTGGAGCTTCGGGTCGACGCCGCAGTGACGTCGGTATCATATTCATTGTAGTATTGCGAGTCTGATCGGCTTCGAGCAGATGCATCGTTTCTACTGCCCGTTCCGCTTGTTGATGCACCCAAAGAGTTCTCGCGCTGTTGAATAGAAGACATGGCAATATGCACGATATCGATGATGATGACTGAGTGGGCAAGTACTGTAATGAATGAGTGTAAGCAATGACAGAACTGACGCAGAGCAAATTATGAGAGTCGGAAAGAAGTGAGGCTCGACAGCAGCGACGTGATGATGTTGTGATGGCATTGGATGGTCGCGTTCGTTATTTTCGAAACGACCCACCTCTGTCCACGCTTCTCACCGAAAATGGACCTCTGTCCCGCGAACCTCTGTCCACGCTCCTCGTCGAAATGGACAACACCGAAATTGGGGTGGACTGGACATGGAAATCGGTTCCAGTCTATGTCCATCGAAATCAATCTTCTTATCTACGGCAGCTAGCATGAAATCATGTGAAGGGTAGTTGCTCTCTAGCTAGCTAGCTGTTAGCCTATTTAAAAATATTTATTTATTTACTGAAGAACAGTTTCTCTCAGACGTCGAAAGACATTCTCCAGCGACAATTTGGAATCGTCGGAAGCACTTGACGACGACGACGACGACGGAGCCATCCGTCGCGAGCTATTATTGACTGCCTTGCGCATGATTTGTCGAGTGCAGGCAACTTTTTTGAGCAGCAGGCCCGACACATCGTACCGACGGCTGGTGGGATCGGAAAAGAGCACCCGATATCCTCTTTGCTGGTACCATTTTCGCGCTGCTTGGTTGTCGTCTTCCACTTCGAGCACCACTTCGGTCTTTCCCCATTCACCGGCGGCAGTTCGTTCACACGCCTCTAATAGTTTGGATCCAACTCCCGATGACCGGGCCGATCGTTTGACCGACAGGTTTGTCAGTACGGGCCTCGCTACAGCATCGGCTCTTCGGACTCGTTTGGGGACCATGATTTGATTGTTGTTGTTGCTATTGTTGTTGTGGTCGTCTTCATCATCGTAAAGGTATCCTCGTTCCAAGGCGGGAACGTGTATTTTGCTGGTGGCGGGTATCAATCCAAAGGGTACCATGCTGACTTCGCAAAACCCCAGTATTTCCGACCGCACATAGTCGACATCATTTGATTTTTGTTGTTGCAATGCATTGATATTGTGAATATCTCTCATGTTGAGTATGAGTGGTTGTGATTGTGCGGCATTGGGAGATGCCTCTTCCACTCGGTATGCCACGTACATGGCATTTGTCTTTTGGTCCCGTTGTCGTCGCCTTCTCAAGTCTGCCATCTGGATCATTCGTAAATAAGATAATTGGACCTCTTTCCAGGGACTGTGTGGTAGCATCAAAGTGTGGGGGTTTAATACATGTAAAATGAATGCATCGTGTGTGCAACAAACAATAATCAATAGAGACAAGAAACCAACCATGCAGACTCACGGCATTGCTCGACCTGTTTTTCCATCGTTGAAGAAGACACTGGAGGGTAGTCGCAGAATCATAGATAATAGCAAGATGAGTGATCCATACCATACCAAATATAGAGCATGATTTAAAAACACCACCCTCACACTTCCATTAGTCTTTCCACCTCGAAAACCATTCATTCGTTCGTTCGTACCTGATGCACATTTCGGCAATTCCCTTGAACACATCGTCACTGGGTCTCAAGCTCAGACGTTCCACGACAAACGGAACTGCCTTTGTGTTGCCATTCACATAGCCATTGATATTGATCTTGCCGTTGGCTTGGCCATTCACAAGTTGCTTGGCATCCGATCGGAGTCCAAAAAGGTTCAATTCGGTCACATGTCTGATGGATACCTCGGGAACAGTAGGATACCGGTGGGTACCAGTATTACTTGTTGGGACAAAGGCACTGGAGTCAATAAAGAAAAAGCCGATAACACATGCTGCAAGCAGCAACGGTATTCTGATTGCAGCCGATGTCATTGTGGTGTCGTATAGGTATATGCTGTGCTTGAGCTTGAGCCTAATAAAGAACAATTGATCTCAGGAACCGACCGCAGATAAATTCGTTGGAAGGAAAGATAGCTGTTTCTATCTTTTCTTCTCCATCAACACTCTAATGTAGCTATTCTTATAGGTATAAGCTAATGGCAGGACACTCATTGGTCGGAACAAGTCTGTTTGCGCATGTCGACGTCGATTGGCTGTTGGAAGTTTGTTGCTTCTTGTTTTCTTCAACCTGCGAGAACAACGGGAAACGTCAGTACACGTACCACTAATAACAGCGGGAATATGTGCGTCTTCTTTGATTAGGTTCGCATTCAAAGAGAAAGAAACCTCAGATCTTTTTGGAATGTCAGAACGGTACGGTACTTACTGCCACCCGTATCGCACCCGCCATTGGGTACGGTTATATTATAGATGTCGCCCTCAAGCTTATTGTCATCAAAGATGATTGAATTGGCCCCTCTTGTACGGAATGGGCACGAAACTAATAGATATGTTGCCGAGGAGAGGGATCACACAAGCAAAAAGCCAAGAAAAGGAACTCCAGGAAAGAAGTGCCTGGTGGTGGGCTTTTTCATTCTGACGCAGCTGATCATACTTCTTTTTTTGGCAATGGCCTTGTTGAATAATGATCCTTCCACTCTACTACGAGCTCCACAATTATTCAGATCATCAAGATTCTTCCGAGACCAAAACCTAGCTGGACACCCAAAGTGGAACCAGGCGGCCAAGTTTGCAGACAAATGCCCACGACGGACGACTGCTGCAAGTAGCGCTTCCACCAATGCGAAATTGCGGACCGGGAGCCCCTTTGCTCTGTTTCAAAATTCCACATTGGTATCGAACGACTATGTGGCAAAACTGGCACAGCAGGCTATGGAGGTCAGCTTTCAACGATTTGATATTGTGACGGGATTTCACAGACAACAACAGCAATATACATCATCACAATGCATACAAGCATCGCTGGACTGCTACCAAACCACCCACTGGAAGCCAAAACAGAAACCACCGACGGCATTCGATCGGTGCTGGTGTTTGCAGGTGGACTTTTATAGTGGAAAAGTTGCCTATCTCTCCAAGAAAGGCCTCTATGAAGGCGAGGGTAAAAATGCTTCCTTGGATTCCTGGGAATCCGATTTTTATGCAAATCTACAATTGGCAATGAATTCCATACAACTGGCGGTACAGGAATATAAGCAACATCTACCACAGCAGGGAGTCACATATATGCTCTTCAACTTGTGGGATGAACCAATGTTGTTTGTTCCATCCGATAACATTGATAAGCTCAAGACACTACCACAATTGTCACCTGGGCATCCAGGACATGATTTCTTGGAAATCAACAGAAAGAAATGGTTCAGTTTTGATGCTTCCTTTTATCATCTTGATAGTGTCATGGGCAGGGATGTTTGCGGGGACTTTCCTGTCTTTTCATGGTCGGTCAATCCTCTGCACAGTTTCGACATTCTTGCTCCACACAAGCATGGTGGTGATTGCCAAGGAATGTTCCTGGATCCCAAGATTCCCAATATACCATGGGAAGAGAAAACAGACACGGTCTCATTTTATGGGAACATCTTCAGCTGTGATTCGGAAGAACATCACAACCACAGAAACCGCCTTTGTGGCATGGTAGCTCGCAAGTGGAAGCAAGAGATAGAGCAAAGATTCAATGTGGCTGTGGATATCCCAGTCCGCAATGATAAGCACAAGACACCCACTGACCAGGCAGCAAGCAAGTTCTTGATCCTCATGGATGGAGTGGTGGCTGCATTCCGTTCCACCTGGTACCTTGCTTCTGGCAGTGTCATTTTGGCAACCTGTAATCATGTGGACTTTCGCACTGTCATGATGATCCCATATGTACATTACATCCCCTTCTCTCCCATGGATTTGGAGTTTGATGGGTTTATGGATGCCCTGGCAATGGTGGCAGACAATGATGACTATGCACGTTGGGTGGGAGACAATGCCAGAAGGCTTGGAAAAGTCCTGACAAGCAAGGGTGACCAATACGATTTTGGAGAGCACTGGGATAGGCTCTATTTTGCACAAGTGATTCAGCATTACAGCTGGCGCTACTCAATCAAGGAAGACCACGATCCTGCAAAACACGATTTCACAACAGACCGAAGCTGTGAAACGTTCAGCAAAGTCTCTCCACAACAATCTATAATAAGGTTTGGATGCTTCAATGAGACCTATGCCTGCAGCAATGTTTTGCAGGATGGATCCGTGGATAATCCATACATGAAGTTTGTGGAAGCGGTTACGTAGCATTGCCTTGGCAAAAAATGTTCCGGTTGATAGTCAAGAGATGCTGGTCTCTGGTGACAAAACCAATCCATCACCGTGAGTAGCCTTTTGCGCAGATACCCTCCTCTATACCGTAGCCAATACTGCTATTGGTACCAGTACGGTCGCATTGAGGTGGCAGAGGATCATGTACTACTAGCTAGCTAGACGACATGTGCTATGTGTGCATACCGCGAACTCATTAATTTGACCGCCCAATGATTTGGACGCACATTTCAATTTTTTGTGGCGTCTTCCGCTGCCGAGCACTCAAAATGGCGAACACAAGAACAGCGCACCTCGTCGATGGATCAGTTTCGCAATAGTCAAGCCATCTGCGTTCCACCGTGAGAAAAGCAATAGAAGCGAAGACGTTCATCAGTCCATAACTTGCAATTAGCTGGAGGAGAGGCATGCATGGATAGCTAGAATGCGCAGTGGCTAGCTAGGAACAGACCAAGACATAAAAGAAGACCACCCATCACCGGTTTTCTAGCGATCAACCCACTCAAGCTAGCATACGTGATATTACCATTAGCTCGTCAGAACCATCATGACAGCATCCTACTGCTTTGGCTGCTGCTCTCCCTATGCCCTGGGTCTCTTTTTCATATTATGCGTCTCATTAATATGGAGTGCAGCAAGTATTTTGGTCCAATTTCTGTATACCAAGCAGAGTTTTGATTCTCCCTTTTTGTTGACATACATTGGAGTGTCACTATTCACGCTGCTGTTGCCGACCAACTTTGTAATAGAGCAAGGCAAACAGATGCTGTCGGCAACCTTTGGACGACGACGATCGTTGAATGACCTGGTGGAAATCCCCACAACCACAACCTTTGAAATCAAAAGTGACGAGAGAGGACAATACGAAAATGTACCGTCCGTCGGCGAAAGCGCCTCTCTGGAAGAGGAACAACAACAAGACACCTATCAAGACGAACCCGACAACAGCCAAGATGGTGAAGCAGATAATAGCGTTGGCAGTGATGTCATTGGCATACCCATGCCTCCTACGACGTTGAAATGGACCAATTACGATCACATGAATGCCGCTGTCAAAATTGCTCCAGTTTGGTTCATAGCCAATTGGACCTACAATGCCTCTCTGGCCTACACATCCATTACATCTTCCACCGTGCTGGCTAGCACGGGATCAGTGTTTACGTTCCTGTTTGCCGTCCTGTACAGAGACGAACAATTCACATGTATGAAATTTCTAGGGGTCTTGCTGGGGGTCACCGGGAGTCTCTTTACGGCGTTGCACGACGCCAACCACCATTATCATGATGATAATGACGATATGGCCATGATGGCCGCTATGTCCATGAATAACAGCACTTCGATCGACGGCGCAGATGTCGAGCGAGAGGATGCCATTCCTGTATTTCGAATGCTCCTGGCGAGACGCCAGCTACTCGCGGGACCTGCTTACCACACGGATTGGAGTCAAGAACGAGCCCTTTTTGGGGATGCCTTGGGGTTGATATCTGCTTTGGGATATGGGGCTTATGCTGTGATGGTGCGAGTCTTGTGTCCAAGAGACGAGAGCCTCATGTCCATGGAAGTACTTCTGGGGTATATCGGATTGTTCAACATGGTGGCATTATCTCCCATTCTGTTTTATCAACTATTTAACGGCAACCACTCCGATTTGACGTGGGTTGTCTTGGGATTCCTGGTTGTCAAGGGATTGTTGGATAATGTGCTGAGTGATTACCTGTGGGCACGGTCGGTGGTACTGACCAGCGCCACCGTGGCCACGGTGGGCTTAGGATTGACCATTCCGCTGGCTTTCCTCAGCGATGTTCTATGGATGGCACAGGATGGTGCCGCTGTTGTGTCCTTAACGTCCGTTGCAGGAGCACTCAGTGTTTTGGCCGGTTTCATCCTTGTCAACATTGCTGCTGACGATAACAATGCTAAGGAAGGAGCCAATGATACAGCCGACAATCCACTGCAAGACGATGACTTTGTACAGGACAACAGCAGCAATAGTCAGCCAGTGCCGCTAACTGAAATGAACAAGTACTCGGACGAAGAAGAACCATCGCCCGAGAGCTGAGCAATGCCAAACCGGGTTAGAACGAATAGAATTGACAAATTGTACCAGTTCCAATCTTGGTTGATGACTGGGCACTTTGGCAATATAGAAAGCGGCTTGCCACGCCAGGGCAACTACGCAACGGTATCATTGAGCGCGGAATTGCGCTTTTGTCTCGTGCACCCAGAGTTGTGTGCCACAAAGTGTTTGATGACCCTGGCAACAATCTCAAGCATATCATACTATGAGAGTGGCCGTTGCGGTGTGTCTCATGCTGTAGTGTCAGATGATTGTTCGTAGCTGACAAGCCTCTTGCCAGCATTGTTGTACTGTAGCTAGATAGAGAAAATAATTGTACTTCTGTTTCTATTACCCATACATTTACATTCCAATAGTACATGCGTTTGTTGTGCTTAACAAACCGTTCGATCCATCTACATTTTCTCCTCTGTTCAGAAGTCCAACGATCACACACTTACTTGTCGACACTGGTCATCGGGCTACCCGCGTTTTTCTTTTACAATTCTGACTTGGCAGCTGTAGGAATGTCATGCAAGACGGGCATTGTGCCCTTGTACTTTTCCCATTTCTCTTGGTCGAGAATGAACTGCACCATGCATTGTGCCACATGAGACCGGGTAGCGACTCCGGCACCAAAGAGGCCTCCCTGTGGTTTGTCAAACAATTGGAAATACCCAGTCGGTTCTCCATCAATCAAGTCCGTGGGTCGAACAACGGCCCATTCTAGATTATTGTGGTTGGTGCCCAAAGAGTGAACGTGGGCAGCTGCCTTTTCATTGTCTGGGTGCGGGGGGATGAGCAGTCGAAGCAAGACAATGATGGTTCGCTCCAAAGATGTTCGCTTGTCGTCTTGACCATTGGGATTTGCGACACCATCTGACCCCATCAATATGAATTTGGTTTTCTGATTGTTGCCACTGGTAGTTGATGATGATGATGCCTCAGCAATGGCAGCCGTGAGCCTTTTAGTGGCTTGTGTGACGAGTTTTCGTGGATGTCCCCACAAGCCTTTAAAGTCGAGGGTATGTCCCAAGCAGGAAACCACGGCATTGCAATCCTTGACTTGATCTTGCATTTCGGCATCAGAGAGGTCCAGCAGGGAAGCTTCTGTGATAGAAAGGCGATCGGCGTCCTTAGTTCCCATTTCTTCCAGAATGTTCAGCATTTTCTTCTTGGAACGGACCACAACTTTTACGTTTTGACCTTGGTCCAAGAGAAGCTTGACGACCCATCGGCCTGTGGCGCCAGTAGCACCAACAACGAGAGTTGTAGTGGTTGATGTTGCATCGGCAGATGTCATGGTTGCAAAGAGGGTGGCTATTAGTAGTAGCAGAAGAAGATTGATATGGATGCTGAATGCCGATCTTGTTCTTTTATGAGCTCTCATCCTAGCTTGTTGCATTCAGGTGAGTCAAGTCCCACAGAAGATCAATGAAGGATGGTCCGAACAGATCTTTCTGGCTGTTGGTGTGGGGTTACTGTGTTACTCTACCGGACCCTGTAGCAGTTTCGGTATCTTTGCCAAGAGCCTCGTCGAACAGATCATCGGGACCCTCATAAATAGCATGAATGCAGGAGTCCCACAACAGCGGAGCCAAAAAGATCCCTTTGGATACAGTCGTACCGACCGGAACCTACTACTAGTACTGTAGTACATACACACTGTGATGTACCGTATTAATACCACCGTACCCGCTCTGCGAGCTTTTTCTGTATTCCTAACCTTTGAGTACCAGATCGTTGACTGACCGCCTTAAATCTCTTGTTTCGTCGTTTTGGTTTTTTTTGGTCCTACGGTACTAGTAGGCAACGGATCGCCCAGTGTTGATGATCAAGAGAGTTGCTGGCATTGGAGGACAAGAAGAAGCTTTGGTGAGAACTATGACGCCCCAAAAGACAAACCAAGAGAGCTCTAGTCTTCATTGTAATATTAAATCCAAAGAGCTAGATTGGAGAAAGGAGGAAATGGAGAAAAGCACCGCCAATGACAATAAGGACGCCAATGACAGCATCGTCACCCCCAAGAAGACCAAGCCCACCAGCAGCAGAAAAACCAAGTCCAGGTCTCCTCGCAACAAGGAAAACAACTCTCCAAAGTTGGACTGGAGAGATGCCAATGATTCCAAAAAGACAGCCACCAAAAAGTCAAGTGGCATCTCTCCAGAACAGTTTCATGGAAACAGCAACAATGGTAGTACTCGAACTAGAGTTCGTCCAGGCAAGGATTATGTGAAAGCAATCCATGAGCAGTCCGAAGAAAACGTGTTTCGAGAAGAAAAAAAAGAAATATCCAAGGTCCAAGAAGTCAAACGGTCGGCCTTTAGAGCTGTCACTTCCCTGAAAACCTGGCCGCTTCAAGACTTGGCCATGAAAGATTATCAACAGCTGATGCAACTTTACTTGGGCGAGGAAAACAACAAAAATGGCGTCAAGGAGGATCCAGATTACAATCACGGGGCTTCTTCCGAATCGGCAGCTTCCACAGATAAGAAACGCATCATGACAGACAAGTCCTTGTCTCCAAGCAAGAGCCAACTGAAGCAGCGGTACAAGAAGGAGTTTCTGGAGGAATTAGAAATTCCAGACCACAATGTTGTCACAGTGTCCTATGATCCGACCAGTCGATTTGATCCTGGATTGTGGTCCATGGAACCACGCATCTTTTCGACGGAAAAAGCCAATGGAAAACGACGATACATTGTTGGGAACATGGGACGTGTGGCGGATCTCATTTGGCGCAAGACAGATCGGTTTCAGCGTTACTTTTACGAGCTCATCCTGGAAGATGCTCCTTGTCGCCTATATTTTGATTTGGAGTATTCCATCCCGGACAATCCAGACATTCCACCCAATCAACTGCTGAACGAACTCTACATGGAACTGGTGCAGGCATTGGTCATACGGTTTCCCAATCACTGCGAGGGATTCTCGAGGAATTGTATTGTGGATTTGGATTCCTCAACGCCACAAAAGTTTTCTCGGCATTGGATTGTCCACTTGCCGTCAAAGGCTCTGTTCAAGAATAATGTGGAAGCTGGCAAGTTTGTCAAAGCGTTCATTCAAAAGTTGGCGGACGAAGTCGCTACGGGGACTCTGTACGACCGATGTCCCTGTCTTCATGACTTTTTGTTTGTGAACCCAAAGGGAACATTGAAAAAGAAAGCGAACGACGACAACCCCAAGCAAGAATTGCCGTTATCGAAAAAGTCATGCTTTGTGGATTTGGGTGTCTACACGCGAAACAGGCTCTTTAGATTGCTTGGTTCGGCCAAGTTTGGAAAGCCTGCGGATTGCGCTCTCAGATTGGCCAGTTCCAACCAATTCCCTCTTCCGCGAGGGTTTGGGAATGATATGTTTTACGTGCCCGCCATGGTCAAATCAGAGACAGAAGACAATTGTGAAGAGGATGGAGAGAGCAACATTCGAGAGGGTGAAGTGAAACGAGACAAAGCTATAGAAAAGTTCAAAACACAAACTGACTGGTACGTTTCCCTTGTACATGCAGTTCGACTGAGCCACGAACAATCTTCAACTGACTGATTCTGTCTTTTTCGCCACACAATCCGCTACTGCGACAGGTCCCTGCATGCTCAGGTACTCTGCCGGACGCTCGTCGTTCCTTTGAATTGGCGCAAGATTGATTATCCACTTCTCCCCGAAATGGAGGACGAGACAGAAAGCAACGAAACAAAACCCAGCCGACAACCTACTCCCCTGTCCAACAGTGCCCGCCCAACCTTTGGCGAATCGCCGTATCCCTACATCGACAGGTTTGTCGAAGATGTCCTTGCAATCAGAGGCTCGCCACCGATTCAAGGTGCCATTCGCGCTTGGACGTTGGTCAGTGGGGGTGATACTGCAAGCAATGGTACTGGTACTAACAGTCCTCAAGTCCCTGTTGGCATTTCATATCAAATGCTTCGCAATCGTTGGTGTGAGTGCGTTGGTCGCCACCACAAGAGCAACAATGTCATCTGGAACATCGACTTTCACCACAAGAAGGCTACTCAAACTTGCTACGACCCAGAATGCCGAGCCATGAACTTTCGCGGTGCCCCAATCGATCTTCCCTACGACGTAGTGGAACAACTAGACGATGCTATGTTTGAATCAGAGTTGGCAGGATTGGACGAAGAAGTGCTTCTACGCGGCAACGCATCTCTCCAAAATACAAAATCAGCAAAGCACTCAGAGGCCAACGACAACGGGCTCGAAAATGCCATGAGCGCCCTGAGCCTGGGCTCCAGCAAGGTGCAGCCTCATGCAAGTCCAGGTTTTGATGCCGCTTTGTCTGACGATGCACTGCTGGAAGCTCTGGAGTCAAACCCCGAGCTCTTCCACTAAAGAGAGAAAGTTTGATGGCAATACAACTGCGCAGTATGATACAAAGGCCAATGCAGCAATGATAAGAAACACGCATAATCCATATTACTAGCATGATGATTTTCTACGAACTTCTACGTAAACAAGTCAGGAGAATTCGCTGCTCCCCAAACCGCAACGCCGCCGCTCGGGACCTCTCCTTTCGCAAGCAGCACGAGTGCATTGGCTACTTCTTGAGCATCGTTCACGTAAGTCGAGGCATGGCTAGCTTTTCTTCCGACAGCGACCGTGTACGAATACAATGGATTTCGAACGACGCATTCGTTCGAGAGTTCCATTGGCGTGTCGACTGAGCCGTCCTCGTTGAGCACAGGGGGGCTAGGTTTGGCATTCTTTTCATCTCCCATCTCAGCAATGTAGGAAAACACTGAAGTGAACATTTTCTCATCAGAGATGTCATCGCCAAAGCAAAGAATGAAATCAATGCCTTCTGGGTGCTGCACGCCGGTGTCACGAAGGAGCTTCTTCACGATCAGACCCTTGTTCAATTTTCTCGGAACAACTTCGACGATACCCTTCAGGGTGACAAAGCGCACATCAAACGCTCGAAGCTCGCTCTCCAACTCCAACACCAGATGCGAAGCCTGCAGGCTGCCCCATTCAGGATCGCACGAGTAGTAAGACCATCCAATGCTGAACGACGTCAGCTTGACAAAGGATCCATTGGAGCGTGCAGTGTACTTTGACAGTACGGGCAAAGCGACCCTTTTGACAGCATCCCAGTCCACACCCAAGTCAAACGTTTTCCAGTGTCGAGGCTCCCCAAACTGGGCTGGAGGAGAGAACTTGGCTCCATTACTCACAGCAAGACCAAGACGAGGAATGTGTCCCAAGGCGTTGATGACATTCTCACTGGAGTCTCCCGAAACCACGAAGACGGTGTTCCTTGGATCCTGACACAGACAGGCCAAAGCATCCACAACTTGTGGAGGTGGCTTGTTTCCGCTTGTTCCAAGGATCTCGCGTTTCAAATACTTGCCCGGCGGCTCCTTCAAAACAATTGTGCCATTGAAATCGAGAACAATTACTCGCCTAGTCGTGACATCGTAGGAGGCCTTCAGGTTTTGAATCTTGAGATGTGGGAATGCGATGATGCTCTCTCGAGCAAGGAAGCCAGCAGTGGTATCAACGAGCTCGGATTTTCCAATGCGCCGCATGGGTGTGGTGCCCCCAATAGGGGTTGCCCCTGAAGAAGCTCCTTCACTCGATGTTGATGAGCGTGAAACAGCGTCCTTCAAGTCTCGCAAGACATTGTACACCCACTTGTCCGACTGACTTTTGGAGACAAAGTCAATATCACGATAGCGACGGCCCGCGCGCTCCTGCAGCTCCATGCTTAGCGCCTTGTCGATCGTTGTGATGGTCATTTGGATATCATAAGGGTTGACCCTCAGAGCCCCGTTGAGAATGGAACAGACGGCGGAAAACTCCGAAGCGATGACGACTCCTGGCACATCGGGCTCTTTGTTGGTGTAGATGTATTCCATGGGCCAATGATTCAACCCTTCTCGAACCGGAGTGCTGATGAAAACATCGCTGGCTTTCCAGAGTGCCAAACGCTGACCCATGGGATAGCTCGAGCCGGAGCACTCCTGATAGTCAATAACACTCTGCCCAAACTTATCCTGGATTCGTTTCACCACGGCATGCAATTCGCGGACTGTAAAGGCTTCGTCAGCCTTTCGGGAATTTGGCAGCAACACGCGCTGCACCATAACCACTCTGGACTGCCAGTTGGGATAATCTTGCAACAGCCGTTCAAAGGCGAGCAGCTTCAAAGAGATTCCTGATAATTGCTGTCCAATATCCACACCACAAATCAGGATGCGGCCCTTGTGTTTTTGTTGCAACTCGCTGTAGCCAGCTTGAACCGAGGGCAACATCAAGGCAGCGTCCACCTGTTTGGGTTCAATGGAGACGTTGCTCATGGTCACAAGAACTGTCTTGCCGTGAAAGTTGACCCCGATAAGACCGCCTACCAAGGACTCGTAGTTCAGTCCCAAGATGCGTTTGGCAGCATTCAAAAAGTGCCTGGCATGATCAAAGGCGTGGAATCCCACAACATCGGCGTGCAGCATTCCTTCTAGAATGGCTTCGCCGCATTCCAGCTCACGGAAGATTTGCGACGTTGGAAAGGGAATGTGCAAGAAGAAGACTTTGCGGGCAACAGTTCGATTGAACTTGCTCAACTCGATGGCCTGCATCATCATAGGCAACAGCGACAAATGGTAATCGTGAATCCAGACAATATCGCTGGGCTTGATCAGACTCGTCACGACATTGGCAAAGTTAGAGTTGACATCTTGATAGGCAGTCCACCACTCATCCAATCTTGACTGATCCCAGTCGCTGGCTTCGTGTGAGGAGAGGCCCACAAGTCCACTGGCACTCAAATCCAGCAAATCAATGTTGTGCATGGCTGGCCACAACACTTGCTTGCAGAACCCATAATAATGCGCCTGTCGCACGGCAGGATCCAAAAAGATGGGAGTACAGTCCATTTGGGCAAGAATGGCCCTCACTTTGGCCTTGTCTTCTTCCGATGTAATGGGCGGATGCGTGGTGACTGTCCCGACCCAGTGTCCCTGGTAGGTCGACAAAACCTTGGATCCTTCGGTTTTGGCCATGAGCGACTCACTCCAAGAAGCCCTCCATTCTTTGGTATCCTGATTCTGGACCACCACCACTGGCAAGTGGAAGCATACAAAGAAGATACGGGTTGGCGCCGGCGGAACGGGTGTAGTCCCTCCCGAGGTTGGCCCCGATCCGCTCCCATCCATGCCAGCAGAGGGAGTTCCATCGTCCATGTTGACATCGGTAACGGAGTACTGTCCACTGGCAGCGCGCCTATGCAAGGTCTTTTTGCGATTTTCGACATTCATGGCATCTCGAATAAGATAGGGTCGAAAGGAAATGTCATCCCGATTATTCCAGGTATCAACGCGTACGTCTCGCGCATCTTCTTCCAAAATGGGTGTCCCCGTCGAGACATCAATATCAACAGTCCGATAAGGCAAATTGATGATTGTATTTTTGGTGACTCCTAATTTGTCGTTGGTGATGAAGGACTTGGTGGTATCGAGTGAAACGCCGCTGCCTTTCGACTTTTGTAAGGACTGAAATGGATCTTCCCACATCATGACCCGCGTGGATCCCATGTTTTCCTCTGACGTGGACACAATGGCTCCTCCTGCATCCATAATTCCATCTCCATCGTCGTCTTCCTCAGCCGCCGCCAATTCGGCCATGGTGAGAGCACCCGTTTCAGTAGTGGCGCCCGGAGTGACGACCAAATAACGATAATAATGATGCTGGATTTGCTTGGCTTGTTTGTGTAGTACCACGACAACGGGACGTCGCGTCCTCCAAATGGGATATTCTTCAGGAGTAGTCACCAATTCGACACTGGATGTGTACATGGAGGAAGTCGTGGGCATCCCGGTCGCTTCTTCGTCGAATCCGCCAACACCTTCGAGGGCATTCGAATCTACAGCTGCTTCTTCGTCGGGATCGCGAACAGGAAAACCCTGCGAGGCTTCTTCTTTGGCAATCTGATGAGCATCCGTCGGATCTTGAGAGGAAGAACCAGGAGCCCACAGCGTGCAGCCAGTCACACGCAAATAACTACCAATGGGCAATTCGGCTCGACACTTGAAATACAGTCGAACGACTCGACCATTCAAGGGAGGGGCCGCTGTCGGGCTGGGTGATTCCGTCTCCATATTATTATCCTTAATACTCCGTATTGCGTCTTGTTGTCTTCCTACTTGCTGTTGATGATGGAACTGAGTTGCTCGCACTATTATACCTTAGACTATCCTGCTTTCTTGTTGTCTCACGGGGCGTTTGCGTGCTTTGGTTCGTTGACGCCTTCCTCATCTGACGTTGGTGGTTGCACCGTAGAAGCCTGCAGATTGGTTAAATATTTCGTTTGTAAGACAAGCCTGGATCCGGAAGCGAAAAGATCCAAACTCGCTCCCGTGCAACCTTCAACTTCGATCTCCACACAAAAGAATATGTTGATATTATTAGGACGTAACCATGTATAAGAAACAGATCTGAGAGCCGAGAAGACAAACAACAAAACATATACTGGTACTGATAGACGAGGATGTCGGGGAGAGCTGCCAAGAGGCAAAGGAGGGGGCAACCCGAAGAAGAGAAAGCTGAAACGATTGAGGCCTTCACATCAACCGAGGAGTTTGTCGAGAGGCAGGGTGCTGATCTACAGAATGCGCTCCATCTCACAGCAGATCATACAGCTTTGTTCGCCCAGCTACAGAGCCCTGACAAAGAGCTTCAGGGGCAAGGCATGAACCAAATCATCACTTACAAGGCAGCTTGTGACAAGGCGTCTTCTACAATCCAAGAAATACAGGCCAATGCCGAACAAAGCATTGAGGAAAAGAGGGCTGAGCTCGAAGAGAAGAAGAAAGAACTAGAGAAGCTCATGGACAAAAAGAAGAAATTGGACTCACTGGCGGGCAGCATCCAACAGACAAAGACTATCCTGGAAATTGGGGAAACAGTAGCGACCAACGCCGCCGCTGAAGATGAAGATGAAAGCGGGGATGAAAGTAGTGAGGATGAACTTGCCATTCCTCCACAGATGATGATGCTGCTGGGGTCAGCTGACAATTTCACATTGGGAGTCATCAACACTTTTCTGGATCTATACTCTCTGTTTCAATGGGGCCGGGTAGTTGTGGGGTTGGAATCATCACTGAGTGACAAACTAGTAGACCAAGAAAACCAGCCAGAATCAAGGCTCAGCGTTGCTCATGAGATTGGTATGGCTATTTTCAATCACACCGTGCTACCGAAGCAGGGTTATCTTCCCTGTGGAGACCTGGGCGAACTATTCCTCGATGTCGATGATGAAACTGTGGAAGAGGAGGAGTCAATAGAATCACAAGGCAGTATGCAATTTCAGAGCCTTGCCTGGCAACAAAAGTATCAGGCAGCGCGAGCACTTCTACACGCAACAACGAGCTCCTGCTACGCCTATCATGATTTGGAAAAATGCTTTGAGGACGCAGGTACATTCAATTATTCCCAATTTGTGCTCATGTGTTCAATGCTCGATGAGCTTCGCAGACAAATGTACTATTGCACTATCGAAAGTTCAGATGGCTATGGTTGGCCATTTTTCACAATGCAGTCTGTGGTAGACGCAGCTCATTTTCTGAACATTCATTTCTCGGCTCCGTTGGAAACTCAGTACCAGTTCACGCCAATCAAGAGAGACAATTCGCGCTCCGAACCGTACCCGTACGATTACAAAAACCTAGGAACTTCCAATGGAAGGCTGACATTGAGGGACTTGGCGTGCATGAATCCAAGAGTAGTGAGAGCTGCAGCGTCGTCCGGAGTTGGATAGCCAGATTTTTGCCGAGGTGAGAACACTCCAGCATGAGGAATTGGTCCAGTATGTCAAAGAGAGCATCTCGAATTGGATTGAAGAATGTGACACAAATAACATCGACGAGAAATATGCTCGTAACTTTAAGTTTTACTACTGGCCACCGGGGGACAGCGATACAGCTTGGGATGATTGGGTGGCTGCTGGGTTGCCAACAGGTGACACCAAGAAAGACCTTGAAGATGTGCCGGAACTAATCGAGAAATGTGCAGAAGAGTTGCAGTCGTTTGTCCGAAATGAGCTCGACGAGCTGGACGAATGCCAAAGCAAACCCTCTTTACTCACCAAACAGGAGCCTTTCTCCAGTGCTTTGTACGGAGTGATAAGGGATCAGAATCGTTGGGTTGACACGATTGTCAGCGTGTCTGGCCAAGATCTTGCTCAACAAATCATTGAAGATTTTGCTTTTGGTGTTGCCACCCAGCCGTTTCATGTGAAGCGCCCTGGCCGTGTACCCATCGCTTGCCACCTGATCATTGGGAAGCATCACGGGATCACCATGGCCCCGTGTAAACCTTTACAGTACCGAGAAGATGCTTTCCAGAATCCCCGAGACTCCGAAGATACCAGTTGTGATGACACAGACAGAGACGACGACGACGACTCGTCTTGGCATTCTTCCGACGACGAAGACAGCACCTCTGGCGAAGCGGTAGGTGAAGCAGCCACAGCTGCAAGTTAAGGTACCGAACTGTAAGCAGTATGTGTGATCGTCTACCGGTATAGATAGCAACTGAAGAATTGTGTTTCTGCATGTGGAGTGCAGCACGTTGGAACTGGAAGCGCCATCTGTAGGTACGGCCACACAAGAGTACTTCAAACAATCGTAATGGTACCGGTACCGTAGGTACGGCCACACAAGAGTACTTCAAACAATCGTAATGGTACCGGTACCGTACAGTACGACGTGTGGCATTCACCCCTCTAACAAGAAACGATCCTATGCATGATACTGAAAGATGACAGTGAACGTGTACCGTCTAACTCTCATAGCACGAAATCACCCCCCCCCCTCGTCTTCCTTCTCCCTGCTAACGATGCCGGTACAGCAGATTGCTTCGTCCTTCGGGGATAGGAAATGGACCCGGTAGCAAGGCTAGCCAGCTAGGAGCACCCACCATCAGCACAAAAATGCTCGAGCTTATTGTTGCTCTTTGCAAATCCCCACTTTTTTCTACCACCAGCCTCCACGGTAGCAGATCCATCAGTCAAGAGTAAGGGTTGTTGCTTGTTTCCAGCTGATATCGCCTTTTTCGTGATAGATTGGGTCAGTTTATTGGCGGATTCCTTCCAATCCAATGCAGCTGTTAGGCTAGGAAAAAAGTGCAATCCTGTGACAGCCTCAATGGCCGTCCATGGCACTAGGAAATCTTCCAGCAATCTCTTCGGCTTGACCTTATTGGGGGATGCAAACTCCTGATTGGGGACCACAAAGCAGGCAAATTTGACAATCTGACTTTCTTTGACGGCAACCACAATCTTGAAAAAGTGAGTTGGAACCGACACGAGCGCTGGAGGATTCCCAATGCCGCTGTATTGGAATTCAAAGAGCTTTTCGCCCGCTTTCTTGGCTGGCATCCACAGTGGTCCAGATACCACAAAGGTATCCACATTGTTGTTGCGTTCATAATTTTCTTGGGCTATCTTTTGTACCCATCGCTCCAAGCGCGACCAAATGGAGGAATTCATAGAGTTCACTTGCGGGGAAATGTTGATCAGATTGAACGTATCATTCACTTCTTTTTGGGTGGTATGCATGTAGTTTCCAGCACAAGCTAGATGACCTCGATCAAAGCCAGAATGTTTATAATGGGAAGGTCGCGAGCGAAATTCTTCTGGAAGACTCTTTTCCTCGTAGAATGAGTTGGGTCGTTTCAGTTTCGTGTTGTTCGCGGAGGTGGTCTGTTCTGGTTGCCGATGTGTAATGTGCTCTAGGACATAGAGTGGATTTCTTGTCCTCGTGTCAAAGGCAATCTCCAGCTTGTCATTGGGGCGAAAGATGTAAATGGGAGATGCGGGCGAGAGTCCCTGCAACTTGTCACTCTTCTTCTTGTGAGATTTTGAAGCTTCATTCTTTGTCCTGACGTCGCTTTTTGTACCTCTACAAGAAGCATAGCTGATGGCCACGACAGCCGTGCCAGTAGCGACGCTGGTTTGTCCCCAAGAAGATGATCGCCAAAGTCGTACGCTGGTCCACATCTTCCAAACAATCCAGCCGCCAATGACGAAAGATCGAATCATTCGTGATGACCGAAATAGATAATAGCAATAATAATATATGGATCATGCGGGGGTTGCACTGAGCTAGTTTTGAAGTCCCTACTCACCAACGATTGTGGCTACCGGTACCGCAACACATGGCATTATGATATGTGGAAGAGCTACCGGTAGCTAGCTGCACCAGTAGGGTGTGGGGGTGGGATTGGACCCATTCTTGAAGTGGATTTTGGATGACAGTACGAGTTTTGCAGGTAATTTTTCCATGCTAGATAATTGTTAGGTTCAAATGGAAAAAATAGAGCAAGCCATGCTTTGGCGCCATGGCGCTCCTGCAAACACATGTCAACGGTGAGATAGAGCTGTTAGAAGACAACATGTGCAATATAAGAAAGCTTCAACAAATATGTAGAAAGGCACTCACCATGGCGACAATAGCTCAAAGGGCTCCTCGACCACCACAGCGACGGCAGCTTTGATACCCTTGGAAAGCGTCATTCCATGTCATCTCCTCCCTCCATCCGCTCCGACTCTGTTGGATCCTCTGTTGGGGCTTCAGAGGTATCATTCAAGCCTTGGATAAAGGCATTCCTCTCCTCCGCACCCAGAGAAGCGATCCAGGACTTGGCTTTTGCCATTGCCACCTCCTTGTGCCGTCCAAACTCAGTGTCGTGGAGGCTCATGTTGGTGGCAATCCGTTCCGCGAGAGCTGTGAGCTCTGCTTCTTTCTGTTCCGACCAAGGCTCCACTGCGTTAACGACAACATCTTTCAGCTCCAGCCATCGAGCCATCCTGTCATCTTTCTTTGACAGTTTTGATGGGCAAGGGTTGTTCGTCTTCCAAGCAATCAAGTGTTTCAATTCATCACCTGTCAGTCTGCTCAATGGCTTTTCCAACTCCATAATCGCCAATCCCTTCTGTTGCCGACTCCAGGAAGCAACATGAACCTTCTTTTCTTTCTCCAAAGCCTCCAATTGCTTCCGGAGGCGAGATCTTTCATCAGCAATGAGGAAATCGTCATCGTTCAATGCTGCTCCTCCGGTCGCCTTGAAGACTTGGCCTTGTGTTGCGGCTGCTTCCAATGCGTCTTGCCTTGCCCTTGAGCGTGGAGCTGTCACTGCTGCAGCTCTCTTTTGCTGTTGGAACTCCGGGGCCTTGTAACGCAGCAGGTCGCCATTATACCCAAAGCTGTCAAGGATCTGACAGCACATCTCATTCTTTTGATTCAGCTCCTGAAGATACGAGGCGTTTGGATCAATGCTGTCATCAGCTTTGCCTTCCGCATCAACAACACACTCAGACCGAACCTTGTGATCTGCAAGAGCCTTCCGTGAGAAGATAGGGTAGACACCGAGCTTGTCATTCCAGCAGTGTTGGACTCGCGGAATAGAAAACGCTTCTTCAACTGCGTTGCGAAGAAGCGGAAAGGAAGGATCCAAAGCGTGTCGCCGTGCACTGCCATAGCACAATAATCCAATATCACTCCGTGTGATGGAATCTGTTTCCTGTGGTGAGTTCTGGCGATGCTCCCAGAGCAACTGAAGATTCTCAAAGAAGACCATCTTGAATAGACCAAACAGCATGTCCATTATCTGAAGGATATGGGTGGTATTGGGTGGTCCGGATGGAAAGAGATAGATTCCAAGTGAGCGCAATTCAATCAACATCTCTTGGTTTGTTCGTCCTGGACCACCATCTACAAGCAGAGTTGATCGCTTGCCAGGCACATCAGATGTGTCTTCCACTATTAATGGAACATAATTGCCTCTTGTCCACTTGCCAAACTGTTCTTTGTTCATTCCACCCTTCTTGTTAACACCATAGGTAGCAGACACCTGCTTTAGTTGCCCTTCAGCAAGAAGATATTGTGCTTGTGTGACCAGCATATCCACAATAAACTCTGCCGGAACGACCATGTCCTTCTCATCTTGTGCGTCGGATGGGATTTGAAAATGCTCCGGCAGCTTCTCCCCGGAGGCAAAGGCTCCAGCAAGGAGTGTGCAATGATAAGAGCTCTTGTGGGCTTCGTAGATAGCTTCTCCCTGCAGTCTTGGATTATAGAACTGCATTGGTGGGCGTCCACCCTTCTGACTCTTGGTGTCGTCCAATGTCAAACCAGACTCATCAATGTTGGCAATCCTCCGTCCTTGAGTCTCGTCAACCCATGAAAGCTCCCCTTTCGTTTCCACATCTTCAGTGTTCTCTGTGGCAGCTCCAATGTTGATCAGGTGGGCTTTGAACGAGTCGAACCAGAGGTTGATATTGGAATAAGTTGCCCATTGAGTCCGTCGCTTCTCGACACGATTTGCTTTTCCACACTCCAAGACGTCCCCAATCTCTTTCTCTACTCGTTCAAGGAGCCACCGCCCTTGCCGTTTACCAAGTCCTTCTTTCTTGTTGACACAAGCATTCAAGAGTTTGGAAAGACTTGACTTGTCTGGACTTGGAGAGAGAGAGCTGAAAGTTTCCACAGCGCCACACAATGCTTTGAAGCCTAGAGGATCAATTCTTCCTTTTGGACCGCGTCGCTTGGGACTCTTGCCAGCATCTCCACGCTTCACCATGTTGCGAATGGTTTTCCCAATGAGCTCTGTACCGTGTTCCGCATTGTATTCTTTGGCAATAGTTTCAGCGGACTTTGGAATATATGTGAATTCTTCGTTTTCTTGTGCTTCCTTCATGAGCAGCTCCTCCTTCCAGAGAAGAGATGCAACCTTGTAATGGGCGTTGTGCGAGTCTCGTGCCATCTTTTGTTGTTTCCGAATAGCGGCTGCCTGACGGCCCGTAAGCCGACTACTTTTGGCCAGTTTCTCCTTGAGGCTTTTCTCTGCAGCTTCTCTCTGTTGCATTGACAGTTGTGGTGGTGGCGGTGGCTTGTCCGATGGTTTCTTTGCCAAGTCGGCCTTCGATGCTCTTGCTTCCGACTTGAATTGCCGTGAACGACGGCGCACTTTCTGCCGAAGATTTGGGTCCTCTTTTTGTGGAGTATCCATTCCAGCCCAAGTCATAGCCTCCACAACATTCATTCCCCTTGGCTTGGCAAGCATATGGATGCCTGCGGCCCGTTCAACCTTCCTTTTGAGTGGCGTTCCGTCCGCCATGGTGGAGATATCACAGCGAAAAGAGTAACGAACGAACATTGTCACTGCGTTGCTTTATCTTCTATATCTAGTAATGATATTAGTCTATCTTCTTTACGTTGGATCTTGGTGTGCCGGAGGTTGCCCATCTTCTCTGGACGAAACCATATCATTGCCCAAAGGTAGGGAAACGATTTTGGGGTGTGAAATGGAATCGGAAAGATTTGTGAGGGCCAGTTTTATAGCGGTGGCAGGCTTCCCTGGCTGGCGTGACATGGAAAGGGAAAAATTACTCGTAAATCCTGTACCGGTGAGTAGTCTAACGCACATGGTCAATGAATGGCAAGGTGCATGGAAAAGTGCAAGAAGGGACAGCACTGGTAGAGCAACGTCGGGCAATGTTTGCTATAGTACCGAGCGACTGTACCGGTAACACATTGGGGCAGGGGTGGGCCCAGGCCTGAATGATTCAATCAGAAAGGAGTTGTTTGTAGGCACTGCAAAAAATGGGGCTAGAAGCAAAAGCTGGAGAAGGGAGGGAGTTCTACTACTACTAGTAATAGATATGGTGATACGCCTCTTCTGGCTACATAATATAACCCCGTCGACACCACTTTCTTAGGGGGCAAGCATGAAGTTTTGCAAAATCGCCAACCACGAAGTTGGCTAGGTTATAATTTTAGTTTTTCGTCTGTCGTCGTAACGTTTTTAGGGTTACTGGTACAGGTTACCACTGGTTTGAGCCTTCAGAGCTGCCTTCAGAGCTGCCTTCAGTACAGAGCGGTAAATGTACTTTTAGCTTTGGCGTGGTGAGGTACGGTTCCGGTTCCAGGTCCCGGTACTAGCTAGCAGCTTTATCTTGGTACAGTACTACTACAGTTCCAGGTCCCGATACTAGTAGCTCTAGCTTTTGGTAGGGTACGGTTCCGGGTCCAGGTATGGTAGTTTAGCAGAGCCATGGTACTGTGACTGGAATTGGGCATTATGATGGAAGTTGGAGAAGATCTGAGAGAGTTTAGCATGGTGAGGTACGGTTCCGAGTACTAGTAGCTTTAGCTTGGTAAAGTACCGTTCCGCGTTTGGGTACTAGTAGCTTTAGCTTGGCACAGTATGGTTCCAGGTCCCGATACTAGTAGCTCTAGCTTGGTAGGGTACGGTTCCGGGTCCAGGTATGATGGTAGTTTAGCAGAGCCATGGTACCTTGTCTGGAACTGGGTATTATGATGGAAGTTGGAGAAAATCTGAGAGGACGGCTAGGGCTGTCACTGCCTGGGAACTAACTGGGGATGGAGCTAGTTTTGGGAGAACTGCTAGGACTATGGTATCATTGGCTGGGAAGGAGCTGGGAGAACTGCCACGGAGCCACACTACTAGCTGGAAGAGTTGCTTGGTAGTGCAATAGCTAGCTAATCCTAACTGGGTGAAGTCAGAATAGCTCTAGCTGGAAGCAGTGCTTCTAAGTTTCCCTATCGCCGGCTTGCTAGTAAAGCAAGCCCATGCCAGTTGGCCAAGCAACTGACAGCCCTCATTTCAATTTCCGTGGTTGGCACCACCCGAGGCCTCTTGTTAATGTGGCAAGGAAGAGGGCCACGCTGTTAGATTACGGTACCGGTATCGGTACATGTAACGGTCAACCGCATCGATGAAATAAGCGTGAGCAACTGTGCGACATCGTGTAAATGGCGCCAAGCATAACGATCGAAGCTCGAGACAACAGACAACCATCCCATTGACATTCCGGGCAATGAAGGCAAGCTCTCCGCTTCATTCTGCTCACCTTCCACTGATCCAAGCCCGCAACAGGTACTCCATACCGTAGTGCTGCCTGCTATTGCATAGGTTGGAAGTGAAAGCGCCAACGACGACATTAAACTCTGGCATCACTCGAACAGGCACTCATTTTGTTTTTTTGTGCCAATGACATCTTTGAAAAAAGGAAATTCACACGGCGAGTTGGATCCACGAAAGCAGCAATCAACACAGAGCGCAAAGAAGCAGGAGTACAATAACCAGAGTGACGAGAAGAAGGAAAGCGATCCTGTTTCCATGTATGCCGAGTCCTCTTCTTGGGGGAAAAGTGGCAATGACGACAGTAAAGCAGCACCAGTCTCGGCTCGTCTCTCGGACTTTGACGACGATGATGAATCTTTGGATCATCCCGTCGTAGGCACGAAAACATCACACGACGTTGGAATTCCATCGGCCAGTGGGTTGCACCATCGTCACCATTTTCACGCTGGCGCAAAATCCCCTTTGCCATTGCCAAGCAATGTCCCAGCGTCACCCAACCGACGAAGAAGAGGCCGTGGAGCCGTCATGGGCAAGGGCGTGGAACACCCTGCAAGCCGAAAACGAAAATGGACCATCATGCAAATTGTTCGATCCACTCTCATTGCTGGAGTTGTAGTTTATTTGTGGGCCATGATTCGGGGAACTCAAATACTCATGAGAGATGCCAATGACGACAGTAAAAACAATCCGAAAGATGAGACCACAACTTCGATTCTTTCAGGAGGACACCATCTGAGTGATCTCATTTCGCTGCCTCATCCCGCAATGGCAGGGTACTTGAGATCTGGGGAAACTACCAAATCCCTGGAAGACATGGGGCCACCGTTTGTTCACACACCGAACAGAGACGACCCCAACGTGGTTCAATCCAGAGTCAAGCAAAGACTCTTAGAGCGACGGACTCGCACACAACAACCATTGAAACATCAGCAACAACCAATTGAAGCCTCGTCCATACTCCCCTATGAAATTCTCACGTCTGATCGGCGTGACAAAGCAAATAGCATGCCACAACAGCATCCTGCTAGTTCCTTGGCTAATGCCACGCAACTTTGTGGCCAACAAACTCAACAAGCGAGACAGAACAATCCAACAGCATTTCTCCATAGTGATGCCCTCAAAAACACCGATGCAAAAGTACTCATCACAGGAATTGTCAGCAATCCATTGGCTTTTCATTTGGCCCTCACCCTGAAGGCGCAGTGCGGAGTCGATGTGCTCATTGGAGTCGATCCAATGTTGCCAAACACAATTCGCAACAGACTGCAACACGTTGAACAAATGAAGTTGTTGGCTTCGAATGTCCCAAAGATGGTACATCCAGTACTGGTCCCATTGCTTGGCCTGGACCCTAGGGTCAAAAAGGCGAAGAAGGGAGAGACCACAGATCAACCATCAACGCTCAAAACAACGGGAGAGATCAATCTGTTGAATTTTGAACCCACTCATATAGTACATCTATCGACAGCCACCTATCAAAATCCAATCTCTCAGGATATTGAACCCAGTCCATTCGCGCCAAAACCGCCTCCTAAACCGTATCAGGTTTCAGAAGACGATTCAACCTATGAACCATCCCTGTTTCACATTCGATCCAGTCTGACGGCCATGGAGCAAATCATGGCATCTCTTGTGGGTGATGGGGAAGCAGGAAAGAAGAGACGGCCTCATGTGACATATGCCTCGGCAACATTCAACCGCCAACGATGGGCAACTAGTAGTAGTGACGACAAAATCCTGTCCTATTCCAAGCTTGCCGATGAAGTACTGGCCGACACTTACAACTTTTTGTTTGGGGCAAGTTCGGTTGGAGTACGGTTGCCTCCCCGCTCAGTATATGGACCGTGGAGTCCGCAAGATTCTGATCTGTACAAGCTGTTTGACCGTGCCACGGACGGAACCCATACTTCATTCGACAAGCATATCAACCAACAAGAGTTCGTTTATGTGCAGGATGCGGTGGAAGCAATCATCACTGCAATGCAGTATCGAAGTGACGAAGCATCAGCGTTTGAATTGACGTCGAATTCAGCTGCTTCGATGTCGTCGATGGCTTCGATGGCAGAAACGTTCTTGACGAAAAATGCCGCGGATGTTCCAGCTTTTGGTTTACCGGAACAAAAACTCCAGGCGCTCGAGTGGAAACCACGCACCAATCTTCGCGATGGTGTCCTCAAAACTCTGGCGTGGCATATTGACAAAACCAACCCTTATGGTCCGCCTATCCACGACAAATCAGTTTCTCGGCCGAGAACAGGCGACGAGCTGCTCAAGAAGCATTCAGTTTCGACCTGTAGCGGCGATGACTTGGCCTGTCACGCGGGAACCTCCTTCCTTCCTTGTGCATCCGAATGTTCCGTCAAGGACCAATGTCGTCCGTCCATCTTTGACGCTGTGCAAGATTTGACTCGAGAAATGACAGAGGGCTGCGATGCAGTCCTGTACACTCAATCATTAGAGCGGGATATTGGAGATCTACAGCTGCAATCGCAATTCGAAGACGACGTCGAACCGGCAATCTGCAACTTGGCCTTTGTCGCTCAGGGAAGTCCTTTGGTCAGCGCCGTGATTGAAAAGATCCCGCAGGCAGAACTTGTACGGCTCGGTGTGCCCGCCACCGCGCCAGAAGATGAAAAGAGACAAAAATTGAATGGTCGATTACTCTACCGAGGCTGGATCCTCATTTGGGTGGACAATTTGGTGGAACCTCTCCCCTCTTATGATGTATCACTCATGAAACTATCCCCAGGAAGAATGTTTTCCAAAGACGTCATGTACGCAGTGTTTGTGGAAGAGAATTTCACAGTGTCTCCTACCATGGACGATGTCCGCTTCCTCATTAGTCAAATGGACCGCGGTGCAACCAAACAACGGAGTGTTTATCGAATGATCAAGAAGGACGAGCAATCGAAGCCTGCCAAAGTGAGGTTTATCGTCCCTGCACAACCCGAGAAGCGCGCTGCCATGCTGGTGTCGCAACTGAAATTCAAGATATCGGAACGAGGCAGGATCCCTCAGGACACGAAGATCAACATTCTCGACGCGGTGCGATTCATGCGATTCGAGATTGGTTCAGACCCCACACGACAAAAGGAAAGTTCTGAAATCCGGCGACAAAAGGACTTTTATCGTCGTATTCCGACCTTCGTCAATGGCAAAGACCTCCGTGACAACAACGAACCCTTGTACCGTTACGAGCTCAAGCACTGGGTGAGAACGAGGTGGGTCGTTCACGACTTGACTCTGGAGGACAGTAGGCAACTTCGATGTGACTGGTACCAAGAGCACGTCCAGTGGGCCTCCGAAGTGGACCAGCTGAGCTTCTCTGCCATTATGGCGAAACGCATCATTGAACGCCGCATGATCCAGAATGAACCTGACGATCGCTCCAAATCAAAGGCGGAGGATATTGCTGAACTGAAGGACGTAACCGACCACAACGAATGGTTTGCCATGGCATCAGAATACACGGTTGATCACGATGGCGATGTCCAACCTGTACGCGATGACGAAGGCGCCGAGGACGAAGGAGGCGAAGATGGCCCCGACATTTCTGCGCATGCAGAATACTCACGCAAGAAAAAGCCGGATGTGGGTTTGTACGCGCGAGTGATATCTGATAGAATCATGAGTCTGTCACGGAAAGCTTGGGCTAGGTACCGAGCCGAAATGGCTCTCCAAGCAAAGAAACGTGGTTAGAAACGAGTCAACAATTGACAAAGTAAAGTAATAATAGAGACTAAACAATTTCTGATTTTCTCTTTAGGGTACCGGTAACGGTGGAGGTTAGAAGTTGAAGAAGCTTTTCTTGACCTGACGTATTGCGAAGGTGCTGGTACCATGCTATGCTTTCTGCCATGGATGAATGTTGCTGGTACGAGAATGGTGATGACTGGCACAAAGTTGCTGAACCAACTCAGGCAGATTTCTGATTGGAAGCTATCTAGGGGAAGGACTTGCGGCTCTTCTTGTCTTTCTTGCTCTTTTTCTTGCTCTTCTTCTCACTCTGAGGGCGCTCTGGTTCCCCATTGTCCCCACTCAATGAGCGCTTTCTCTTGGGCTTATCCTCACTCTTGACTGTTGGAGTCTTGACAACTCCTTCAACATCATCCTTCTTCTCCTTGGGACTCTCTTTCTTCTCCTGTTTGGGCTTGTCTTTGGTTTTGTCCCCACTCAGAGAGCCCTTTCTCTTAGGCTTTTTCTCACTCTTCACTTTTGGGGTCTTGTTGGCTTCTTCTGTGACATCTTCAGTCTCATTCTCTTTGGGCTTCTCTTGTTTTTCCTCTTTGGGCTTTTCCTCTTTGGTTTTGTCCGCACTCAATGAGCGCTTTCTCTTTGACTTTTTGTCACTCTTGGCTTTAGGAGTCTTGACAGCTTCTTCTTCAGCATCTTCAGCTTCCTCCTTGGGCTTTTTTTGTTTCTCTTGCTTGGGTGTCTCTTGTTTCTCTTGTTTGGGTTTCTCCTGCTTGGTTTTGTCCGCACTCAATGAGCGCTTCTTCTTCGACTTTTTCTCACTATTGACTTTTGGAGTCTTGGGAGTTTCTTCTTCTACAGCATCTTCAGTTTTCTTTTCTTTGGGTGTCTCTTGCTTCTCCTGCTTAGTTTTGTCCGCACTCAATGAGCGCTTCTTCTTGGACTTTTTCTCACTATTGACTTTTGGAGTATAGACAGCTTCTTCATCTACAGCATCTTCAGCTTTTTTTTCTTTGGGTGTCTCTTGCTTCTCTTGTTTGGGCTTCTCCTTGGTTTTGTCCGCGCTCTTGGACTTTTTCTCACTATTGAGTTTTGGAGTCTTGACAGCTTCTTCATCTACAGCATCTTCAGCTTTCTTTTCTTTGGGTGTCTTTTGCTTCTCTTGTTTGGGCTTCTCCTTGGTTTTGTCCGCGCTCAATGAGCGCTTTCTCTTGGACTTTTTATCACTGTTGACTTTTGGAGTCTTGGCAGTTTCTTCTTCTACAGCAACTTCAGTTTTCTTTTCTTTGGGTTTCTCCTCTTTGGGTTCCTCTTTGTCGAGCTTGGCCTTGTAACCAGGGAAGTCATAGTCGATGCCCTTGGCCTTCAATTGGCTGCGTTTTTTCTTTTCCTGCTGTAGCAGTCTACGAGAAATCTCTTCAGCGTTGATTGTCTTTGTTTTCTTTTCTTCTCCTGATTTTGTTGATTTTCGTTGAAAGACCGTCACAGTGTCCTTGGAGAATATTTTGCCGTGGATGTTCTCAGGCGACAACACATGAGACACCAACTTCTTTTGAAAGAGTAAATGACCGTTCAAGTTATCTGCCACAATGGCAGCAACTTCTTCATCTTGGAATTTGGCAAAGGCGTAACCCTTCGTTCCACCAGTTTTGTGAGAGCGACACACACGCAGCTGACTCAAGTGACCAAATTGCTTCAAGAAGGCAATCAACTCTCGTTCTTCGCATTCGCGGGGCAAGTGACCAATATAAATGACATTGGGAACTGCTTTCTGGGTGTGCTTGCTGGCTTTCTTGGCTTTCTTCAACGGGGTTTTCTGCTTCTTGGACGTCATCTTCTTCGTCTTGACTGAAGTTGGTTTGCAAGCACAGAAAAGGACCAAGAATGAAGTGAGAAACGCAAACAAAACAGACAATCTCCTCCTCTCAATCCACCAAACAGCAAGTACGATGGTACTCAGTCTGATACTTACCCTGTTCTCGTGAGGTGCTTTTTGCTGCCGCCATGGTGACTTTTATCAGTTACTTGCAATTCTTCCCATGTTGTGTGCAAAGGCAGATTGGCAGATCTTGGTTACCTTCGGCATTGGTCAAAGAAAAGAAGAAAGAAATGAGTGGTTGGTGCCAGTCGCGAACGAAATCCAGTCCACAAGCGTTGTCCTTCGAATGATGAATCGAACCGAATCCAATTCGACTGATGATGGGATAAATTCGATAGACACCTCCGGAACCAGCCACCGCAGGAGTTGCTTATTGTTGCTTGTGGCCAAAAAACGAACCAACTTTACGCTTCCACCACGAAACAACAAACCGAAGACAAATATCGCCATTTGCTGTCTACAACAAACTAAAGCGAGTAGCTCTTTTGTGGCAAAACTCCGTGTAGAGTAACCTCCACTCTTGAACTTGCTGCGTGAACAAACTGTAATAAAACAACGCAAAAGGAAATCATTGTGGGTTCCGGTACTGGTG